GTTTCAGAAGAACTTTGGGTTTGGCTTTAAGTGAGATGGGAGGGCTTTGGTTGAGGGCAGAGAGATGTTAGATTCGCTGAAGGAGGCCATTGCAAGGATATACCAGAGGGATGGCGGGGTTCTCTGGTTGTTCAGCTGGTAAAGAATCTGCCTGCAATGCAGGAGACCCCGGTTCAATTCCTGGGTCAGGAAGATCCCCTGGAGAAGGGAAGGCTACCCACTCCAGTATTCTTGGGCCTCCCTGGTGCCTCAGCTGGTAGAGAATCTGCCTGCAGTGCGGGAGACCTGGGTTTGATCCCTGGGTTGGGAAGATCCCCTGGAGGAGGGAACGGCTACCCACTTCAGTATTCTGGCCTGGAGAATTCCATGGAATTCCATGGGGTCACAGAGTCAGACACCACTGAGCGACTTTCACCAGAGGGATGGCAGGGACTGGGACTAGGGTGACAACAATGGAGACAGTGAGACTTGACTGGATTTAGGATTTTTTTTTAAAATATATGTGTAAGTATTTATTTGTACGTATGGAGTGTGAGTGTGTGTGTGTGTGAGTCACTCAGTCATGTCCAACTCGCGGTGGCCCCATGGACTGTGTAGCCTGCCAGGCTCCTGTCCATGGAATTCTGAGGGACCTATTAGACACCCAAGTGGTGGTGTTAAGAGACTTAATTTAGGGGTCAGCATATAAATATTGAGTTGGCTGTAATATTTCATTCGGATTTTTTTGTCCTTTTTTTTTCATTCAGTTCATTTGGATTTTTAGTAAGATGTTATGGAAAAACCTGAACCACATTTTTGGCCTATCCAATAGCATTTACAGCCATGGGATTGAATAAGATCATGGAGGGAGTGATTATAGAAAAGGTCCAGTGGAAAAGATGAAGAAATGAGGAAAGATCCAGTAAATGTGTCTTCATACTTGAGTTTCCCAGACTGGAAAGCTGGGAGACATCCTAGATGTCCCTTTCCCCATGAGCATGATCTAATCCAGCCCATTCCCTCATCCTGCCACTTCTACCCCCTAGAATACACCTGGACCTTTCCACCTCCACCTCCATCATCAGGTCCAGGCCTGTATCATCTCTCACCTTGGCAACCGCTCCATTTCCCAGCTGAGTCTGTTTGTTCTGCCCCCTCTAATCTGCCCTCCACGACAGTCAATGGTCTTTTAAAAACACAAATCATATCATGTTCATCTCTTGCTTAAAGTCCTTTAGTAAATTCCCAATTCATTTAGCATTAATCCACAACTCTTAACATAGTTTACAAGTCCTTGGGAGATCTTTCACTTGCTAAACCTCACTTCCTGCGACTCTCCCTTAATACTTTACACTTCAGATTTCACCTCCAGTGGCCATGTCTCCATTCCTCAAGACCGCATAAAACACTTAAACACAAAGCTTGGGGACTTCTCCGATGTGGTCCAGTGACTAAAACTCCTTATTCCCAATGCAGGGGGACTGGGTTCAATCCCTGGTCAAGGAACTAGATCCCACATGTTGCAACTGAGTTCTCATGCCTCAACTCAAGATCCCGCATGCCACAACTGACCCAGCACAGCCAAATAAATAAGTCAACTTTAAAAAAAAAAAGGTTGGCATATAATAGGCACTCAATAAATGTAAGCTATCATGATTATGCTACCTCTGGGCTCCACAGATGCTGTTCCCTGTTTGAGATGCTCTTCCCTTTACCCTTCTAACTCCTCCTCCTCCTCCAAGTTTGTGTCAGTGTTCTATTGCTGCATCAATTTATTATCTCACAGTTTCCAAGGATGGGAAGTCTGGCACATTCTACTTGGGTCCCACTCAGGGTCTCCCAAGCCTGAAATCAAGGCGGGCCTGCATCCTTCTCTGAAGACTCGTCTAGCAAAAGATCTGCTTCCAAGATTCCATCGGTTCTTGGCAGAATTTGCTTCTTTGCAGCTATAGGACTGGAGTCCCCGTTTTCTTGCTGTCAATCAGGGACCATCCTCGGCAACTAGAAGCCTCGCTCAGGTCCTGCTGTGGCTTCCTCCACAGGATCTATCACAGCTGGGCAGTTTTTCCCTTCTGGTGTGCATGCCTCCTCAGTCACTCAGTCGTATCTGACTCTTTGTGACCCCATGGACTCCTCTGTCCATGGAATTTTTCAGGCAAGCATACTGGAGTGGGTTGCCACTTCCTATTCCAGATCTTCCCCACCCAGGGATTGAACCTGTGTCTCTTGCATCACCTGCATTGGCAGTAGGATTCTTTACCTCTGAGCCACCTGGGAAGCCTTTCCTGCTTCTAGGCCAGCAGCCAAATATCTCTTGGGCTTCAGATCTCTTCCTACTGCAAGAGCCCTTTGAACCTGCCTCACCCAGAATAATGATTTTTTAACTCAAAGTCAACTGATTGGAGATCTCTGTAAAATTACATCTGTAAAATCCTTCACCTTTGCCATATAACCTAATCACAGGAGTGAAAGCTGTCATATTCACAATCCCACCCACACCCAAGGAGGGGGGATAAGGTAGGAGAGTGTGTCTTCCAGGGGCTGGGAATCTTGGGGACCATCTTGGAATCCTTCTTGCCACAGGATCTCAGCCTAAAATCATTTCCACAAGGAGACCTTCCCTGACTCCTAATTTAAACTAGGTCCCACTTTATATTCTTACACGTTACTCTGCAGATTTCTTTCATGGCTCTTACAGGTTGTCATTTTTAACTTATTTGGCTGCATTGGGTCTTAGTTGTGGTGGGCAGGAACTTAGCTGCATCATATGGGATCTTTCATTGCAGTGCACAGACTCTTCGGGCTTAGTTGGTCCTTGGCATATGGGATCTTAAGTTCCCCAACCAGGGATCAAAGCTGCATCCTTGCCATTGCAAGGCAGATTCTTAAACACTGGACCACCAGGGAAGTCCTTATTATTTGTGTGTTGAATGCACCTATTTATTTGTTTGATTGTCTCCTCTTCACCCTGTGAGCTCCATGAGAATAGAAAGCAGGAATATTGTTTTGTTCATCACTGTGTCCATGTACCCAGCACAGTGGTTGGTAATATTAGATCACTGAATGAATGAATGATGAGCAAATGAGCAAATGTGGGCAGGGATTAACCTCCTCATACATTAGACAGAGAGGAGAAGGGATGAAGCATTGATTGAGCCAGGTCCTCTGCTAAATGCTCTATAATTTCTGTTTTCATTTAACCCTCACAGTCATCCCAGGACTGTTACTATGAGTAGCCTCATCTTATAGAAAGGGAAAGCAAGGTTGAGAAAGGTTAACTTTCTTGCCCAAAGATACACAGCAGGGAACCAAAAGATCTAGGATTCAAACCCAGGACTGTTTTCAGTGTAAATACTGGGAAACTTCTTTGGATTCAAAAGACTTGGTTGGAGAACTGGATCTGCTGTCACTCACTGGCCATGTGAACTGGCACAAGTCACTTCCATTCTGAGTCTGCTTCTTTGTGAAACGGAGGTGGTGATACCTACTGAAGGGTGGTTGGCAGAAGTAAATTAATGTGCATGACGTTCCCTAAACATAGCAGAGTGGTCAGTGAATGTAACCTGTGATTCCCACAGACCAAAGAACGCCCCCACCCAGCTGAAATGAAAGCTCACTTGGTTGGATTAGGAAAGCCTTGGAGGTACAAGGAAAAGGGGCCCCGAGAGAGGAACCTGTGAATGTGAGGTTCTCATTCTCAGTCCTGCTGGCTGTGCTTCTGCCAGTGACAATCTGGATTTGCAGAGGCTTATCAGAAATTGGGTATGAAGGAACCATTGCCGAACAGAGCAGTCCATCAGCTGGTTTTCCTCTCTGCTGGCCAGGCATTCCTAGGGCAGGTGGAGGAAAGGCCTCCACAAGCTTTGCAAGTCCCTGGCAGAGGAGACATGAGCTCTGAGTCCTGGACGTCAGAGGTCTGGGCTTCTGCCCTCTGCCTCCTGTTTTTGCCCTCTGCCTATGCTTTCCCAAGACGCTGGTCATCACAAAAGAGACTCACGGGGAAAGGGGCAGAGTCAGAAGAGGGAGTGCTGGAGAGCCAGGCCACCATTAGGATTCAGGGATGTAAGTCTTCCTCTCCCATCAGAGTGTCAGAGCTTCCACCATGGATCTACTCCTTGGGTCTCCTTATCACACTCCCCAACTCCCCTTGGGAAAAGGGCTTCTACTACCTGCCCACAGAATCAGTGTGAGTGAAACATTCATCAGACCTTCCTCCTCTGTGACCTAGAAGAGCCCAGAGCCCTGGGTTGAGGTTAAGTCAAAGAAACGCAATTGAATTGGAGGAGGGTTGTGCTGTAACCATCGAGTGCGTACTCAGGCGCTCAGTCGTGTCCAGCTCTTTGCAACCCCATGGACTGTAGCCTACCAGGCTCCTCTGTCCATGGGATTTTCCAGGCAAGATACTAGAGTGGGTTGCCATTTCCTCCTCCAGGGGATCTTCCTGACCCAGGGATCGAACCCGCATCTCCTGCATCTCCTGCATTAGTAGATGGGTTCTTTACCACTGAGTCACCTGGTAAGCCCTCTAACCATCAGTCCTGCCAACTGATGGTTGCCCTTGAACATGAGGGATGGCAGAGCTGAAGAGGGTTCAGGATTCTCCACAATCTCCTAATTTTACCCAAGAGAAAACCAAGAGCCTGGAGAAGGGGAGGGCTTGCCTGAAGTCACACAGCTGGTTAAGAAGCAGACTAGAACCCAAAGCTTTGTCTCTCTTTACTGACTTTGCTGCTCTGTTGAGATATAGAAGAGGCTAAAGTTCCATGGGGACAAGGAACTAAAGTCATTCCCTCTGAGCCTCTGGTTCTTCATCTGTTGAACAGGAATAATGATACTTCCTGCCAACACACCCACTTGCTTCTGAAGTTTCAGTGAGTAAATACAGGAGACCTGACTTCAGGGGCAGAATCATCTACCTGCCACAGCAGGACCCCAGATTGAAGGAGATCATTGAAAGGATCTGAAGGTGGACAGAGTGGATGGGCCCAGAAAATGTGGGTTCACCTTGTTATCCTCCCCAGGTGGGGCCCAGGCCTGGGTTGCCATGGATACCGTGTCCCTGGAGCATCAGATACAGAGTGTGCAGCGCCACATCAGCTTCCTGAAAAAAGAGCAGATGGCCCTGCTGCGAGACCTGCACCTGGAGATCCTGAGGCTGCAGAAACGCTGCTCGGGTGAGGCCTGGAGGGGTGAGGGGGGCGGCTGTCAGCAGCCACAACACCGTCTCTGATGGGGTGTCCGCCCTCAGCCTCCCTAAGCCAGGCACGTGTTCATCACCCCTTTCTCTTGGTGAAGAAACTGAGTCTTGGGGAAGTGAGACACACAGAATGTGCAAGCACCTCCCAGCCCTCAGAAGCCCTCAGTCTTGGACTTCCCTGGTGGTTCAGTGGTTAAGAATTCATGCTTCCACCACAAGGGCCACAGGTTCGATCCCTAGTTGGAAAACTAAGATCCCACGTGTTGTGTGTCATGATCAAGAAATAAATTTATTAAAAGAGATACACAAAAAATAAAGAGGGCTGGCAGTTCATAGGCAGGTTCATGCTCAGCTTGAGGCGTAAGTGATGAGGAGGCCAAGTATCCCACACTGTCCCGAGGATTAAGCACTTCCTCTCCCTGAGAGCTGAGTAAGATTTAGACATGCTGAGATATTATGGGGCAATGAGAATGGAGAAAGCTTTGCAAAGGAATGGCATGGCAACATCCAGAAGGTAGGAAATCAAAAGCTCATGAAAAGTTCTATTTGACTGGATTACCCTCTACTTAAAGCTGGTGGGACATATGGCTGGAGCCAGAACATGGAAGACCTTGACCAATATCAGGATGGCTAAGAAGTTTGGCCTGTCCTCCTGGGTAGTAGGGAGCCCCTGAAGGTTCTTGAGCAACCTTATGCTACATTAAGAAACTCAATCCAGCAATTGTATGGCAGATGAATTGGTAGGAGAGGGAGGCAGGGGGACTAGTGACAGGTCCAGGGGAGAGATGAAGGGGTATGGGAAGGGGAGAACCAGTGGGATGCAGAGGGACCTGGCAATCAATCGGATTTGTAAGCAGGACAGAGGGAGACGACAGGGATGATGTAAACCTCGTGCCTGACCTCTACTCTTGGACCTCAAGTCTCAGCTATGTGGCCTTCTCAGAAGCTTGGCTCTGGCCCAAATGCTCACCCTGCATCTTCAAGTGGAGGCTTTAGAGCCAGTGATTCAGTGTCTCAGCTGGAACATCCCAGTCTCATCATTGTACAAATATGTAAACTGAGGTCCAGAGACAGACAGTGAGCATCACAATGTATCAAGAGTCAGGATTAGAACCTAGGACTCCACACACCCAGTCGTGAAGCGTCTGTGGCTTTTTTTTCTGGACACACCACGTAGCTTATGGGATCTTAGTTCTCTGACCAGGGATCGAACCCTCGCCCCCTGCAGTTTGGAAGCACCAAGTCTCAACCACTGGACCACCAGGGAAGTCCTCTCTGCTCCTTTCCACCCATCCTCTCCCCAACATACTCAGATTTCCACCTCCCTTCCCTGCCTTACTCATGAGAGTCTCCTCCTTCCCCAGAAAGAAACTGAGGCTCAAAGGGTTTGAGTGACCCACCTGGCTTCTCACTCTATGGCACGAGAAGCCGCCAGTCCTGACTTTCAGCCACCACAGTCCCCTCGAGCTCCATATACTGCTGTTCAGCTGCCACCTGCCAAGGCCAGACTTCTTGTCATCTCCCCCAAAGCCTGGCAGGCAGCAGAGGGCATGGATGCCCTACACCTTCTCATTCCTGCCTGATCCCACTTTTTTAGTGTAGTAATGACATTAAAGGGATATTGACACGAGTGAACCCTAAGACCCTAGAGCTCTTTCTCTAATTTCTTTTTGCTTCATAATTATTCTGAAGACCTGGGTCCTTCCACGCAGGACGCAGGCCAGGATCCCAAGAAAATGGGTTGCTGTCGTTCAGTCACCAAGTCATGTCCGACTCTTCACGACCCCATGGACAGCAGCATGCCAGGCTTCCCTCATCATCTCCCGGAGTTTGCCCAAGTTCATGTCCATTGCATCAGTGATGCCATTCAACCATCTCATCCTCTGTAAGAAAGTGTAACAAGCAGGAACAGAGGGACCTCAGCCCCCACCCTCCTTCTCAGACAAGTATGGGCCTGCAGCCTCTTGGTTATTGATTAAGGAGATAAAAATAACTCTGGGCTGGCCTGGAGCAGCCACTCATGGGGCTGAAATGACTGAATAAGGCCCTCCCTCCAAGGGGGTGGAGGAGAGAGGAGGAGAGGGGAGAGGACAAAGGAAATGTTTTTAAAAAGAGATTAAAGAGGGATCCAGAGAGTGGAAAAAGGATAAGAGTGAGAAGGGGCTGGTATAGGAACCAGGAGGGCAAGGCTTAGGGAAGAACCTGCCCAAGAAGGGGTGATAATTCAAAATAAAGGGGCTTGAGAGGTAGGTGGGTGTGTTCTGGTTGGGAAGGTAGCTTGGATGATAATAAGAGCTGACTCAGCTAGACTGAGCCCTTTATTTCTTTTCTCTTAGCAAAGAATCTGCTTGCAATGCCAGAGACCCAGATTTGATCCCTGGGTCAGGAAGATGCCCTGGAGAAGGAAATGGCAACCCGCTCCAGTATTCTTGCCTGGAGAATCCCATGGACAGAGGAGCCTGGCAGGCTACAGTCCATGGGGTCGCCAAGAGTCAGGCACGACTGAGTGATGAACACTTTCGCTTTCATAGGTGAGAAGACTGAGGCACAGAGAGCTGTTGTCACTGGCCTGAGGTCACACAGCGTGTCTGACCTCACAGTGTGCATGCCTGCTAAGTCACTTCAGCCGTGTCTGACTCTCTGTGGCCTTATGGACTGTAGCCCACCGGGCTTCTCTGTCCATGGGACTCTCCAGGCAAGAATACTGGAGTAGGTTGCTGTGCCCTCCTCCAGATGACCTTCCAGACCCAGGGATCGAACCCGCGTCTCTTGCATCACCTGCATTGGCAGGTGGGTTCTTTACCACTAGCCGCCTGGGAAGCCGGTGCCCTCATGCATACTCATCTAAACCACCAGGACTCTGGCTGGAAGAGGAGCAGGGAGGTTTGATGGATGAGGGAGTGGAGCCCAGCTGGGATTCTGTCTCCCCTCCCCCAACTCTGGTGGTTAAAGGCTACGGAGAAACAAGCCCACAGGCAGTTAGTGACAGAGCCGGAGTCCCTTAGGCTACTCCCCAAACTTAGTCCAGGGCCCCTCCCTCCCTCCCTGCACCCCCCCCCCCCCACATCCCAGGGCCTTGGAGGAGGGGCCAGGTTGGCCCCAGGAAGCCCTGGGGGAGGTTCAAGCTCTGGTCACAGCAAAGGCCCAGGCACTCCAGGCTCTGTCTCCTGGAAACAGCTGGCCTCCCCAGGGAAGGCACCTCCAGTAATGCCCCTGGTATCTAGAAGAGCCTGGTGAGGACAGCGAGGAGGGGCGGGCGGAGGGCCCACAAGGTGAGTCTCTCTCTGTTGGTACTGCCGGACAGTGGACCCGGGGATCCGCTTCCTTCCCCCACCCCCACCTTCACACCTTCTCCCTTTGGGCACAGACAGCGTCCCTGCAGGTACATGCAGGTGCGCCTGAGAGGTGCCCCCCATCACAGGCAGCTGCCCCTCCTGGGCTCCCTCCTACCCCTCTCCCAGCCCTTGAGCCCTGATGGAGTTGGGATGGAGTGGAGTGGGGAGTGGGCTGGAAAAACAATCAGACTAGGCAGGCTGAGGGGTGGGGCATGCTGGGCTCGAAGGGGTGGAGACTGGGGACAGGCAGGGGAGGAGACTGCTCCTGCACTAGTGCCCTTGGGGGGCCCCTTGGCTGCCCTCAGCACCAGGCTGAGAGCCACGCAGGCTTTGCTTCACTAGGTGGCTCTGTCCTCCTTGAAGCTCCTCTCCCTCCCCCATGGAATGTGGCAAAACCAGGACTTAGCAAGGGCACAGCAGTACTGGCTGTGAAACCAGTGAAACACGTGTGTCCTATTAGTAAATACCCTGAATCCCCTCTTAGTGTCCCCAGGCAGCCCACCCAGGACACGCCAACCTTCCCAGACTAACCAAACCATCACCACAGTGGGAGGTGAGAAATGTCTGTTTGTTTTGTTTGAATTGGTGGGTCTGACTCTTTGCAACCCTGTGGACTGTAGCCCACCAGGCTCCTCTGTCCATGGGATTTCCCAGGCAAGAATACTGGAGTAGGTTGCCATTTCCTTCTCCAGGGGATCGTCCTGACTCAGGGATCGAACTAAAGGCTCCTGCATTGCAGAAGGATTCTTTACCGACTATACCAAGTTGGACCCTACCCGGACCTACCAATAGATACTGAAAGGTCTGTGCCCTGGACAACAGGTGTCCCACAGACTGGCTCTGATTGGTTGGCATGTTAAATATTTGTACATCACCTCTGGAAAGGGTCAAATAGTCCCCCCACCACCAACCCCAAAAGCAAGCCTCCGCCCCACAAGGGTTGAACTAATCCCCAAATTCAGGACACAGAGTTGGAAAGATCTATTGGAAAGATATCTGGACTTAGAATCAGGCAGATCAGGTTCAGGTTGTGCCTCTGACACCTCTCTTTCATCTCTTTCCCTCTGGGCTGCATTAAAATAGGTATAGGGGTGGTTTCGATGGTTTCTGAGCATCCTTATTGCCACTTTTACTGGGTTGTGATTCTTAATCTCACACACATACTCTCTCTGTTTCTAACACACATACAACGGCCTTTTCTTATCTCTGCCCCCAGAACTGACCCATGACCTGGAGATGAGAGAGGCCCAGTCGCACCAGCAAGGTAAGAGAACAACTGGTCACCTTCCCCCCCCCCCCCCCTTAGGATCCATGCCTTCTCCATGCCCAGCCGAGACTTGGGGATAGCCTCACGTGCCCACTCAGCTGGGTGGCCTTGTGCAGTGAACAGCCAGCACCACTGTACATACACACATGCCTGGTATCCCTGTCTCCATCCAAATTGGGAAAATGAAAGCAGGAAGGAGATGGTTCCCACGAAGTCCACGTGCCTGACTTCATTCCTTTGTGACCCACCTCCCCAGTCTTCCCATCCTTGTGCAAGTGATTCTCATGGTCAGTGTGCACACTCATCAAGATTCAGCATGATGGCAATAGAAGTTCTTTGATTTCAAGGAAATTTGAAGCCAGAGGAGGAGAAAAGAGACAAGTGCACATTAGCAAATTCTTAATTTTGTAGAAACAGGACTTCTTGCGAGTGTAGCGGTTCCGCTAAAGTGTTTGTTTATAGATTATCACTTCATCCATAAAATGGGGAGATGTGTGGGGAGATAGCATTCGGTGAGTGTAGAGTTTCAGTTTTGCAAGAAGAAAAAATTCTAGAGATCTGTTGCACAACAATGTGAGTATATTAATAGTACTTTAGAGCTAAAAATGGAAAAGGAAATGGCAACCCACCTCAGTATTCTTGCCTGAAAAATCCCATGGACAGAGAAACCTGATGGGTTTCCATGGGGTCCCAAAGAATTCGGTCATGACTGACCGACCAAGCACACACATCCTTAACCATTTTTAACTGTGTGTTAAAAATGGTTAAGATGGTAAACTTAGCTATTTAGTTTTTTGCCACAATTAATTTTTTTAAATGGAAGGGATTGCATTGTTCAGATCTTAATCCCCAGGTAATATGACCTCTGAGAACTAGGACTGGGTGTTACCCATTGCCTTCCAGTACAAACACGTTACCTGACATAGAGAGGGACTTGGTAAGTGCTTGATTTAAAAATGAACCACAAAAGTAGTATTTCTTTGACCAGAAGGGTTTTAAGAATGGACTTTTTGCCATGTGGATGTGCTGCTTATAGATCAACAGCTACATGACCAAGAGTTAGGCAAAGGAAAGGCTGGAAGGTTAAGGTAAAATGTTAGAAGCCCTACAAATTACCTGCATGTTCATGCATTAAGATCTAAATACTTATGAACTTGAGCTAATTCTGCCCACTATAAGTGGCAGTTGTGGGCAACCTCTTGGTGCCTAGTGCTTGGAGGAAGGGGAGGCGCATTCCCAGATTTCAGGAAAGAACAATTGTGTGAAAACAGTAGCTTTGGGGGCCTCCCAGGTGGCTCTGGGTAAAGAATCTGCCTGCCAATTCAGGAGACGCAAGAGACACAGGTTTGATCCTTGTGTTGGGAAGATTCCCCTGGAGAAGGAAATGACAACCCACTCCAGTATTCTTACCTGGAAAATCCCATGGACAGAGGAGCCTGGCAGACTACAGTCCATGGGGTCGAAAGGAGTCAGACACGACTGAGCAGGCACGCATAGCTTTTACTGTACCTACTGTCCTTCCTCTGAAACGGCTTTTTGGATCATCTGGAACCCCGTGCCTTGGGTTGTTGCTTTTTTTTTTTTTTTTAAATAAATATTATTATCTGGCAGCACCGGGTGTTAGTTGCATGCAAGACTTTTTTTTTTTAAGTTGCAGCATGCAGGATCTAGTTCCGTGACCAGGGATCGAACCCTGGTCCCCTGCATTAGGAGCAAAAGAGTCACCCACTGGACCACCAGGGAAGAGTCCCCCATGTCCTGGTTTTTATCCTCTCTCTCACTGGGCCTAAGAGCTATTTTTCTGTGTTCTCATTTTCTATGAAAATCACTTGGGGATTCTCCTATCCCCTCTAGAGTCACTTTTTACCTTCCCTTAGTCACCTTTCGGCTACTGATATCCCCATACTCACTCACGTGTGCCAGTCTTGGGATACAGTCCTGGCTGAGATGGAGCTTATGATTCAGGAGGCAGGAGTCCTCAGCCGTGGGGGTGTATTAGAATCACCAAGGAAGATTTAAGAAGCACCAGTGTGCTGGTCCAACCCCGGGGGAGTCTGATTCAGTCTGAATTTGTTAGGGCCCAGGGAACTATTTTTTTAAAACTCTCTAGGGAATTCCCTGGTGGTCCAGTGGTTAGGACTCTGTGCTCTCACTGCCAAGGGCCCAGGCTGGATCCCTGGTCAGGGAACTAAAATCTCACAAGCTACAGTTTCAAAGGTCAAAATAAATAACGCTTTCTGGATGTTTCCAGTGTACATCCAGGCTTGAAACCGAGTGCAGTAGGCAAAGACAAACAATGAACAAGTAAAACGTGTAATAAATGCTCTCTTTATGAAGGAAGCAAGGTTCACAGCACAGATTCACCTTTTCCGCTCACACTCCCAGTTCTTTCAGTCCCTTGTTCCTGTGTGTCTCTCCTGCCACAGGGCTTTTACACGAGCTCTTCCTTCCCTGGGAAGCATCCTTCTCTTCTCTGTTCACTACTTAATTCCCATTCATCTGTCAGATCCTAGCCTCGTCATTTCTCTGCTGAGAAGCCTTCTCCTATTAGGTCAGTCTCCTGTGACAGTCGTGGTGTTGGCAGGTGTCACACATGAACCTACACATTCTTTTGTGATTATGTACCGTACATCTCCCACTGTGCTTACTGAGAGCTTCGTGAGGAATTATTATCCACCCTATCCGCAATCCCCAACACGACGCACAGAGTCAGGGCTCAGCAGATTGTCGTGGAGTGAATAATTGGTCTGGGAAGGGTTTGCTCTTAAGGGCTGCACGGAAGAGTTTAGAGGCTCGGCCAAGCAGGAGGCAAGAGCTGGGAGGGGGGGAAAGGTAGGCGAGCAGGAGTGAGCCCGAGCGCTGCGGGACCTGCAATCGGGGAGGTGCGGGGCTTCGCTCCGAAGAGTGGTGAGCTGCGCAGGTCCGGCCAGGCGAGGACCCTCACTCTCCCCTCCCTCTCCCCTGCCCAGAGTTGGCGTCCCGGGAGCTGGAGAGCAAGTGCCGCGCGTTGGAGTCGCAGCTGGCCGAGCGAGCAGCGGCCAACGCGGAGCTGCGGCGGGAGGTGGCGCAGCGCGAGGCGCTGGTGTCGGCGCTGCGCTGCAGCCTGCGCGCGGAGGAGCGCCGCTTCCTGGAGGAGCTGCGTCGCCGCAGCCACCGAGCCACCGTGCTGAGCACGGAGCTGCAGAAGCACACCGAGGCGGCCGCCTACCTCTCCTGCCAACTGCATGCGGCGCGCCAGAAACTGCAGACTCCGCGCCCGGGGCCCGGCGCCGCCGCCGCCACCGCCGAGCCCCGAATCCGCCGGCGCGCACAGCGGGCCCGCCGCCCGCCCGCAGCCGAGGCCGCCACCAAGGGCCCCGGCCGGGACTGGGCCGCCTGGGAGCGTGCGGCCGGCGTCCCGGACGACCTCGATGCCATGCCCGACCCCGCGCTCTTCCTCTACGCCCGGAGGCCCCAGCGGCCCGGCGGCCGCAGCCCACGCCAGCCGCCTCCCCAGGAACCCCCGGACCAAGCCGGCTCTCCGGCCGCGCCCCGCCCACCCAGTGCGCCCGCGGACCCGGAGTAGGCGCGGGGAGGGCGAGCGGGCGGGGAGCCGGGAAAGGCTGGCCCGGGTTTCGACTCAGCGCGGGCCCGGGCGGATAGGGTGGGGGCGGGTCCCTGGGGCCGAGGGAACCAGTCCCTCCCCCAGGGAGCGGGCGGAGGCGGCCCCTGCTCCCCCGCGCGTTCCAGCCGCCCCGGCCTTTTGTATTTCCCGAGGCTTTGAGCTGTCGCCGCAGCTTTGAGCTCTCCTCTCCCGCCGGGGAGCTCCTCCGCCGGGCCCAGCGAAGGCACTTTTTTTTTCCTTGGAGAGGACTCAGTACCGATCCTTATCTGGTCCCCACCCTGCCACTGGGAGGGGACGGGGCGGGAGTCACGCCCTGACCCAGGAAAGTGACAAAGTGACAATCGTTTGGCCGTAGCGGGGAGGCCGGGCTGGCCTACGGAAAGGAACCAGAGTGGCCCTTAGCATCCTTAGGCCTTCCAGCTCCCCGCTGCGGCCTCCGCCAGACCTGCACGGCCGCCCTTCCTTCCCAGCCTGCCTCCGAGGGGCGGTTCGGGCTGGGGGCTAGAGGCTGGACCTTCTCCCCCACACCCCCCCCCCCAACCTGCTAATAGATCCTTACAGGTGAGCACGGAACACTTTAGAAGACGCCTCCCCCACAGCCTCTGGTGGGGGGAGTATGGACTTATGGAAGTTTGAACTTCTAGGAATTAGCACCCATAGACCCTTAGAGAAGATTACAGAATGGGTTTGGTGGCAGATAACTGTCTCCAATTCTCAGTTCTTCCCGGGTATGTAGACTCCAAGGACACGCCAGAGTCGGGCTGATGGAAGGGTTAGAAACTGTTTTCAGGAGGTAGCTGGGAACCTGAAGGCTGCCCTGGGAGTTTCCCTAGTCCTGTTTATTGGTGCTAATTTTGCCCAGCTTTCTAATTAGCTGGTTGCACCCAGAGGCAGGAAGAGGGGCCCTGCTTCTTGGAAGTGGCAGCTGTTGATAGAAGTTTGAGTGTGCTGGGGGCGGTGGGCGGGGGGATGGTGGGAACGCAGGTTAGGCCCTAGCCTCGCCCTCGTCAGGACTGCCCCCATCCTATCAGACCTGACAGCGGCCGGTGTTCAGTGCCCTTTGTCTAGGTTGGGGAGTGGCAGACGGGAAGACTACCGCCCCACCTCCTAACGCGTTTCTCCCCAGCTCCCCCTCACGACCAAAGGCGGGAAGTCCAGCTCCAGCCCGGTTCATGGCGCCCACCCGAGTCCAGCCTGGAAAGACAAATTCCTAGAACCCTGTCGTCTCGTGCCATCCCTCTTTTATTGGTCGTGCATCAAGTCCGAAGTGCCTGTGAGGTCTTCCAGGGGCCGCCAAGGGAGGACATGGGGCAGGAAGAGGCTCTGACCTCACTCACGATGCCCCAACCCAGCAGGTCCTGACCCTCTGCCTGGGGCTGAGACTTCTGCTTGACGCCCAGAGGTCTGGGAGGTCTCCAGGGGGCGATGAACCCTTTTCCCATCATGGCCCCATGAAGAAAAGGGGGACAGATCCCCAATTACACCCCCTTCCACTGTATACGTTAGAGGGAGCAGGACACGGGTGAGCACATAAACGTGCAGCCCCTCCCCGCTCAGGACTGCTGAGACCACTGAGCAATAAGCAGGCCCGGTCTGTGTCCACCACTGGGGCGCCCTGGGGACGGACAGTGCTGTCCAGTCTAAAGGGCCGCGGGAGTGGCCTAGGGTCCTTGCTCTGCCTGCTCCCGCCTCTCCGCTCCCCAGTCTCTGTGGTTGTACCTCTGCCCTCTGTCTCCCCTCAGGTGTGAGTGACTCACGACCCCTTGACCCTTGACCTGCCGCCTTCCTTTTCAGAACATGTCCCAGGAGGCCTCTCTCTCTGCTCGGGGCTGTGCTCACTTGAAGGGGCCTATGACCCTGGGAAGGAGGAGGGAAAGGGGGTCTTTATGGAGGCACCCACCCAAACTCTCATCTTCCACAACCATACTTTCGGGGTGAACTGGGTGACTTTGTGAGGTCAGTTCTTCTACAGAGATGGTGAAGTACTCTATCCACCCACCCACCCACTAAAAGCCATAGCTCCACCCAGCTGGCCTCCCCCAGCTCTATAGCAATAGCCCTCTTCCTCCTCCCTTCCTCTGTACCCGAGGAGCCCGGCTGGGGACCGCCACAACACCCCTGCCCCACCATCCTCCCTGGTAGCCTGCCTGCCTCTCCCCAAGTGATGCATCAGCACCTCCTGTGTTGTCCCCCTTCCAGCAATCAGAGATGACTCTTGTCCTGAGCTACTTGGAGATCCCGGCTCCCCGCCCCCCATGAAAGGTCTGGAGTGCTGGGGCGGCTGACTCACTGACTCTCAGCTGAGGTGTGGGGGTGCCTGGGAAAGGAAACGCAACCATCCCTGCCCCCTCCACTCAGCAGGCTGGGGGAAGGTCCAAAGCAAATACAGGGTTCCAATTTTAACAGAAATGCCCCCTCCCCATCCCTCTCCTGGAAATAATAGATGAGAAGCTTTCCTCCTCCAGAACCCTCAGGGCGCAAAATAAAATGAATAAGACTGGGAGTCGGTGGTCTGCCCTTGGCCTCAGTGGCAGGGAACTCCCCAGCCTTGCCCTCAGCTTCTGGCCCTCCCCCTCTCCTAGCCTGGGGGACCCACCGTACCAAAGGAGAGACCCCCCTCCTCGAGCCCCTGAAAAGTTTGGGTGACTAGAAAGGACATTGCCTTCCCTCTCCCTGTCCCCCCACCTCTCCACTCTCCCCTCTTTGCTGCACGGAGCCCACTGGGGGAGGGGGGTGTTGACATGGACACTCAGGGGCCCTAGTTGCAGCCAGGAGCTGCAGGTGGGGACCCCTCCCCATTCTGGAAGTCAGCCAGGGACCTGTGGGCAATACAGCCTGAGGCTTTGTGCCCCTGCTCCCGCTCACAGTGGCCTGCAATCTGGGGGACCAGTCCAGGGCTGAAATAGGGTAGCCCTTCCCCAAAACAAGCAGCAGACTAGAGGTCCCCCTGATGGAGCAGAAGGAGGCCAAGAGGGTGTGGAGCAGCACCTCCTCTTTGTGGGGAGCCGGCATTCTCTAAGCAGTCTCGCTGAGTGGCCAGCCTTGAGCAGGGGACCTGCAAGGCTTCAGAAACACCAGGCAGGAGACCCACAGGCACGGCAGACAGACCCGGCTCCAAGTTCTCTCTGTTGGCTGCGCTTTTTAATCCAATGCTTTTCAGAGTGTATTCACTCACCTACAGAAATAGAGCCCTGTGCTTTAGGGGTGACTGTCATATGCCTTATTCTTAATAAAATACCTGAAAAACACAGAAGTCAAACTTTTTTCTATGAGCACTCCACCCCACCCCCCACCACCTGATGGGGCTGGTCTGTGGAATGGACGTGAAGGAGACAGGATGGTTTGGGAGTTACCCCTTTGAGGGGGAGGAGGTGGTGAGACGGAGCTGAGACTCCCAAGTCCCTTCTATGGATAACCCTCACATAAGGCACAAGGCTCTCATCTGAGATGTCCTGAGGCTCAAGCTAGCCCTGTCTCCATACCACCCCAACCCAAGGGAACAAGCAAGACCTTAGATCAGAGGCTCCTGGCTAGGGTTGGCAGGGATAGGTTGGAAGAGTTTTATGCCTGGAATTGCCCATTGTTCTGGCCCAGAAGCAACCCTGGGCTTCTGGACATCTTTGGCAATGTTGGTTCTCCTTCCCTGACACCCATCTCCATCTGATGCAGCTACAAGAAGCCCAGAGTCCCAGAGAAGAGCCCTAATCTTATCCTCCGCTCCTGAGAGCTGTCCTGGGACTGCCGTTTGGGAGCTCAGCACACTCAGCACCTTCAGGCTCGCACATCTTCAGTGTAGGCCTGTGTTGTTGATGGCTCCTGGAGGAAAAGCACAGCTCTGCAGTCTAAGGATGCAGAGGACATACAGACGTCTGTAGCAACTTAGCATGAAAGCATGTTAATGCATGTGTTGGGGGCGGGGACTATCCCCACCCATGTGACCCAGGTCACACTAATTGGGTTAGAGGTGGGCATGCAACTCTAAGCCGATGAGAACCCATAGTGTAACCTTTCATTTAACACACAAGTCAGGTGTAGGGATACAGCAGGGAAACAAACAGGACTACTGCAGGACAAATTCTTAGGTGGCTAAAATGGCAGAACATCATCCTGGAAGATTGGCCATTTGCCCCAGGGATGGAGCTACACAAGTATGAGGCTCCACAAAAAAGTAAAACCAAGAGAGATGGAGACAAGGACTTCTCCTGCAGTCCAGTGTTTAAGACTCTGCATTTACAATGCAGGGGGATGTGAGTCTGATCCCTGGTAAAAGGAATTAAGATCTGCATGCCATTACACATGCCATGCAGCCAAAAATTAAAAAGAAAGAGAGAATTCCATTTTTTTTTGTCACGAGTATTTAATTCTACCTTTTAAAAAATTTTATTGAAATACACTTGATTTACAATGTTGTATTAATTTCTGCTATACAGCAAAGTGATTGAAATACATATATATGTGTGTGTATATAGCTTTGCCTATTCTTTTCCATTTTGGTTTATCACATAATATTGAATGTAGTTCCCTCTGCTATACAATAGGAACCTTGTTGTTGGACAATTCCTGATAATTAAGTTGCCTGGCCCCAGCTGCGCCTGCAACCCATATACTAGTGCCCTTTTCAACTGTATATACCAATAAGCTCCTCTTCCACTTTTGTTTTTAAATGATCAGCATTAATTTGTGGGGTTTTTATACTTTTTAACTTAATTTTAGACATAGAGAAAAGTTGCAATAATGATACAGATTTCCTGTATGTCTCTCACCAAGCTTCTCCTAATGTTAACATCTTATTTTATCATAGTGCAATTATCCAAACCAAGAAATTAACATTAGTACATGGCATTATGTGAACCATGAAATTCCAAATGTTCAAGCTGCTTTTGGAAAAGGCAGGGGAACCAGAGATCAAATTGCCAACATCCGCTGGATCATCGAAAAAGCAAGAGAATTCCAGAAAAACATCTATTTCTGCTTTATTGACTATGCCAAAGCCTTTGACTGTGTGGATNAAAATTCTCTCCTTCATAAGAGCAACAAGAAAATTGCAAATATCATCAGGGTCAACTTCTTCAGAATTCTAAAAATTAATCAAAGTAATTTAAAGCAGCACAGGGAGTCTTTATTCAAGAGGAACTGGTGGAATCTCAGTGAGAATGTTTTGCTCCATCCACTCCCCTGCCCCTCTCTCTAGATTGGAGCATGCTTGCAGCCGTTTGCTCTCTCCTGAGGACCAGGTGCCTGAAAGCCACTGTGGGGAGAGGAACGGCCCTCATCCCCAAACAGCTGTATCATTTGACCTGCCGCTGGTACCCAAAAGTCCCCACCGCAAGGCTGCCTACCTTGGATCTGACTCAGAGCCAGCCCCGTGCAAAATGTCTTCTCCCTGGGGGCGTTGGTTGAAACAATATTGTCTTTCCAAGCACAAGGCTTTCATTTATCTTCAGACCACTCTGGTTCAATACTCTATAGAGTTCTTAATTGGCCAAAGCGAATACAAACAAATGCATGGGCCAAAAATACTAAGTCAATTAAAAGTAAAACCTTGGATTTCCCTGGCAGCTCAGTGGTAAAGAATCTGGCCTCCAATGCAGGAGACACGGGTTTGATCCCCAGGTCGAGAAGATCCCCTGGAGAAGGGAATGGCAACCCACTCCAGTATTCTTGCCTGGAGAATCCCATTGACAGAGGAGCCTGGCGGGCTACCGTCCATAGCGTCACAAAAGAGTTGGATGTGACTTAGCAAATAAACCAACAACAACAAATCCCATGCATCCTGACAATATCCAAGAGCAATCATTGGGGGAGAAACAAGTGGACCCCAACTAATAAAGTACACTGAATGAAATATTTGCAGAACTCTGGGGAGGTGGGGAGAGTGACTGCTTCCAGCTATCAGGACCGAAAAGTAGTTTAACAGACTCAGTGGTATCTGAGCTTGATTTCACAAACCTAGGACTTTCGCCTCTTTTCCCAGGATGCTTCTCCCATAGAAGCTGGCATTGAGAAAAGGTAAGTAACTTATTCAAAATCACATAGTGAAAGAGAAAGGGATGGAGATAGACCAGGTCACATATAGTCATACACAGGGGATTGGTTTCAGGACACTCCCCCAAACTCCATCCACACCACCCCACCCCCCGCCTCCTCTGCAGATACCAAATCTGAGGTTACTCAAGTCCCTGATAAAAAATGACATAGTATTGGGAATTTCCTGGTGGTCCAGTGGTTAGGACTCTGCAATTCCACTGCTGGGGGCCCAGGTTTGATCCCTGATTGAGGAACTAATCCCTCAAGACCTGTGGTGAGGCTAAAAATAAAAGCCACAGTATTTGCACATTGTGAGCTTACACTGTGGGCTTCCCTGGTGGCGCAGATAGTAAAGAATCTGCCTGCAGTTCAGGAGACTCAGGTTTGAGCCCTAGGTTGGGAAGATCTCCTGGAGAAGGGAATGGCCACTCACTCCAGTATTCTTGCCTGGAGAATCCCATGGAGAGAAACCTGGTGGGCTAAGAGTCATGGGGTCACAAAGAGTCAGACACAACGGGGCAACTTTTGCTTTTTCACTTTCCCTTATGCTGGATTTATCTATTTATTCTTGGCCACACCGATGTAGGAGATAGATGGGCTCCAGGTTAGATATTTACAACTAGCCTCTTGTTTGCATTCCCTGAGACAAGAGATGGCTGGGCTCCAGTTAAAGCATTTACAATCAGCCTCCTGTTTGTCCTCCAAAATGGAAGTAATAACAGAAACAGGGTAAATAGCCAGTGTTTGTCTCTAGTAAACACCTTAAGGTAATAGTCATGGCAAGGACAAAGAGGGGCAAAACCCTATTTGAGTGAAGGATTAAGGGATGCCCAGTCCCTCATCTTTTGGGACAAGGGAGACACTACACATGCACAAAAAGCCTCCTTGTGGGTCAAAAGTCAAGGGATAACGCCAGGCCTTCTTGAGTCTTGCTCCTCCCAGAAGCCTTCACTTCAAGACCCAACTTGGCTGAGGGGTGCATGTGCACTCCAGCAGAGGGTCCCAGGGTAGGTCAGGTGTGGGGAAAAAAGCCAGATAATTGGCCTGAAGGAAGACATAGACTCAGAAGAACTGACTTCTATAAATGTGACCTCACTGCCTCTTTACTTTGCTATTTCTCCTCACTAGGGGGAATACCCGCACGCCTTCTCTCCCTCTGTGCATCTCTGCCTTGCTCCTATCTCAACTGAACAAACCGTTTCTCTGTGTGCTCACCCACTAGTTGCGCTATGTTTCTCATAATAAACTGTACCTGCATTTACAGTTTCCGCCTCCATGATAAATGCGTTTTTCACTGGGGGCAAGGATCCAGGGAAAATTAGCTTCTAGCTTCTAGCTCCTAGCCCTTGCTGGTCTGGTGGCTAAGATTCCTGGTTTTCATCCGGGCTACCCAGATTCAATACCTGGGTAGGGAATTAGATCTCACTTCACACCATAGCTCACTGGTGCCTCACCAAGATCAGCACCATTCAGCTTGGGGGAACTTAGTTCCCTGAACTGGGATCCAACTCAGGCCCCTGGCAGTGAGAGCTCGGAGTCCTAACCACTGGACTGCTGGGAATACTCAGTCCTGCCCAATACTTTAAACCATCTCTAGATTACTAATAATTCCTAATACAATGTGAATGCTACCTAAAGAGTTCTAAATACAAAGTATATGTTGTGAAAATAAGTGCAAATACAAAGTAAATGTTGTGTAAATAGTTATAAATACAATGTAAATACTATGTAAGTAGTTGACAGTGCAGCAAATTCAAGCTATGCCTTTTGGAAGTTTCTGGAATATTTTTAAAATATATATATTTTGAAGAGTTCTCTGGAGTTCACTGGTGGTCTGGACCTCCCTGGTGGTACGGTGAAGAATCTGCCTGCAATACAGGAGACCAGAGTTTGATCCCTGGGTCAGGAAGATCCCCTGGAGAAGGAAATGGCTACCCACTCCAGTAATCTTGCCTGGGAAATCCCATGAACAGAGGAACCTGGCAGGCTACTGTCCATGACACGACTGAGCGACTTTCGCTGGTGGTCTAGTGGTTAGTGTTTGTATGTTCATAGCTGTGGTTCAATCCCTGCTCTGGGAATTCCCTCAAACCTTGTGGTATCCCCCCCCCAAATTTATTTATTTATTTATTTTTGACCACAGCTGGTTGAACCTACCTGTGTGGAGGGCCTACCTGAATATTGATTCCTACCCAGTGTATCCCAGTTGGGGAGACAGGCA